CACTCCGGTTACGATTCTAGTCTAGTGATATCTCGCTATCAAGGCGTTGGTCTATCAGTGCTTGGCACGATTACCTTGCGCCAGACGCGAATGTAGGCGCGCTTCGATTTGTCGAACCGCTCCTGAAGGTTAATGATCTCAAGACGAGAGTATTTATTATGGCCGCTGATATCGAAGCCGACTTTGTTGGTTGGAAGTGATGCGTATTCTTCTCTCCGCAGGTACCTATCAAACCAAACAAATTTGCCTTAAAAATCCAACCGATATATATACATATATATGCATATATACATATATATTATCATTAATATATATTTCTAAATTGTTATAAATCTAGCACACGCAACCGTAACCGTTGTCTGCTTGAATAATGGGAGATATAGGCACAGGCGCTTACTCATAGAATATAGGGCCCAGCTTCCAAGGTTTGACGTCCATCTTGCTGCCGGTGACGCAGGCCTGTTCCAGGTCGCTAACCAGCGATATGTTACCGTGCTTCGCTCGCATGTCATTGTAGAACTTATCGAACGCTCTCACGTAGATCCTGATGGCAAAGTTCATCACGTTCTTCAGGATTTCCGGCTTGATGCACGTGAGATCTCTGCAGTCGAAGTGAACGCCCATCGTACCTGCAAGAACGAGCAGTGGCGTGGAATAGTGAGGGCGCATCTCATTTTATTATAGATGCCCCCTCACTAACGTACGAGATGATAACATGAGATGCCCCCTCACTAGCGTACGGGGATGATAACATGAGATGCCCCCTCACTAACGTACGGGGATGATAACATGAGATGCCCCCTCACTAACACACGGCCTAACCCTAACCCTAACCCTAACCCTAACCCTAACCATAACCCTAACCCTAACCCTAACCATAACCCTAATTTAAACCGACCCATAACCTACCCACAGCTCGGCCATCTTCTGTTGTACCCCGGTATGTAAATCATCATAATATAACCATTAACCGATACCCTCCTGTAACTACAACCCAACCCCTTAACCCTGATCAAATCTCAATCCGATCCTCAGCCCGTCATTTAAATCCGAGATCGTAAAGAAGTCGTAACAATTCGAGTCGAAAGCTCTTCGTCACTTCTTCAATAAGTCGTATATGTACTGGGGATGATAACATGAGATGCCCCCTCACTAACGTATGGGGGATGATAACATGAGATGCCCCCTCACTAACATACGGGGATGATAACATGAATTGTCCCCCTCACTAACGTACGGGGGGTGATAACATGAGATGCCCCCTCACTAACGTACGGGGTATGATAACATGAGATGTCCCCTCACTAACGTACGGGGGATGATAACATGAGACGCCCCCTCACTAGCGTACGGGGGGTGATAACATGAGATGCCCCCTCACTAACGTACGGAGGATGATAACATGAATTGTCCCCCTCACTAACGTACGGGGATGATAACATGAGATGCCCCACTTACTAACGTACGGGGGATGATAACATGAGATGCCCCCTCACTAACGTGCGGGGATGATAACATGCGTGGTGCGCTAATGTACACCTATCCTCATCTTCCCTTTTTACTGTTAAGCTCAATCCGACTTTCATTCCTATCTAATCCTAACCCTAACCCTAACCCTAATAGTCAGAGAGCCACTGACTACAGCACGTGTGCATCGGCTGCGTTTGATGATATTGTTAGTTATTCTTCTCATCTTCAACCCTTTGTTTCCCCCTCATCTGGATTGCATTCTACGGAGAAACTAATCTACAAGGCAACCAGTGAAAGAACGGCCAATCTGTGCGCACACGTGTGCTTTTACTAATGTTTCAGTCATTACAGCTAATCACTAAAAATGGGAAGAGATCAAATGCGATCCATATTGATTTCGCTTCTCGGGCTTTGTTTTATTCAATTGGAGAGATGTCTCGTTGTCTGCTGTGTTCTGTGATTCGCTTGAGGGCGCGTGCAACGATATCTCTCAATTACACGCTCTTTCACTAAAATCCCCGATTCTTTAAAAGACCCGCACAGAATAAAAATAATCCCTAATTGCGTATAGAAAAAGGTCCGAGAGAATAAAACCATATTGCTGCTGCATGATTTTGACCACCAGGTCCGAAGATAAATTCTATAAATAAAGATTTTGCGAAGCAAAATTTAGACGGCCGAGAAATATGGTAATGAGGGACTCTACTTTCATACCATAGAGATCGCAGCGCATCCAATCACACGCGCCTGCGTGCCGGCGCACACGTACGGAAATCGTGTATGTTTGTGTGTGTGTGTGTGTGTGTGTGTGTGTGTGTGTGTGTGTGTGTGTGTGTGTTGTGTGTGTGTGTGTTGTGTGTGTGTGTGTGTGTGTGTGTGTGTGTGTGTGTGTGTGTGTGTGTGTGTGTGTGTGTGTGTGTGTGTGTGTGTGTGTGTGTGTGCGTAATGAACAGCAGGAGCATTGTAAAATTCATAAGCGCAAAAAACGCATCTGCCTTTCAAGGTGAATAATGCATGCGTGTACATGCTAGTTTCTAAAATTACGAAATCAAGTTCATTCATGATTAATTTCAGACGTAAAAGGAAATCAAGGATTAAAGGTCATCTATCAATCATCTGCCGTTTGATTAACCGGACCAGTTTTTCTGTTCGACTGTCTTCCAATTCCCTTTGTTCATGTGCCAATGCATACATGCGGAGAAATATTGCTTGATCGCGCTCCTTTCCATGTTGCCCAGCTGCGTAACCTGTCACTGGTCATCTGTCACCGACTCGACAATTTGTACCTTTGTCTACTTGATACTACGTGATTCACCTCCTCGTCAACTTTCGTCTTGTTTCTTGTTTCTGTATTATTATATTGCGTTTTGTCTGTATTTCCTCCTCCCTTGACCGTCCACCAGATCGCACGGTGTTTCAATTTTATACTATACAGTCTTGTGACGATTTTACTATTTCCTAGCGGAAGCACTTGCATATGTCTACTATAGCAAGATCGCCACGATGCTAGATGAAAGGCGACTTGTTATGTTGAGGATGGTGTGGGATTGCGTCTACAGTATAGTGGGTACACGTGGGCGAGACACTAACGTATTGCCTTCTATATATGTGGGATGCATGTAAGGTACGTGTATCTGCAATAAGCAATACTGCTTGTCAAGTGGTTATAATTTTTCCCGTGATGTTATATTTATAGTGCAAATTATCACTACTAATGTATTTATATTTATATATAATCTCACTCATCAATAGAAACAGCCATTTAAAATTGTTATTTATTTAGAGTTTTAACGTATATGTTACTGACAGCATCGATATAACTATATAACTAAACGTAGACAACAAACCTCAAGCGTAGGCAACCATTAGATTAATTAAATTTATTTAATTAAAACTCCAGACCGGTAGTACAATGCTAATGAACTACCGCCCATGAGTCGGCATCCGGTAGACTGACTGAGGTAGTTCGCGTTCTCTCATACTACTATATCGTGTGAATTTATACAAAGCAACACAATATGCTCCATACGAATAGGCTAATTGTTCAAGCTCCTGTTTGGTAATTATGCATACATACTTGATTACTATTGGAAATGCGTACATCATTTTGATCTCTATCTATTATAACGTTGCCACCAATACAGCAATCATTTAAGCATGGCGTTTACGAGTTGTAATAATTTTATAATAAAATGTCAAGTTAACAGGGGATAAGTACGACGTCTTAATTAGCCTAAATAATTACGAAATGCGTTACGCAAAGCACACACGATGTGAATTAATGCACGGCTTGAGAAGGCCTCTGCCGAACGCGATGATTCATAGATTCCTGAACGCATAAATCGTGCGCGAATCTCCGCAATATTCTACCTGTCACATGTGCCATACATATACATGAAACATGAATTCTCGATGACTTATTTCACGGATACATGTATAGATACTGTCGTTTGGCGAATACGATGCTCTCAGCAGAACAGGCCGTACATGATGACGGTTCCACAGTAATAGCGCTGCGGATAAGAATACACAACTTGCGACGTATATTCTTGTACGTCTCATACGCTTTTCAGTGTTCTTTGACTAGTCTTTAACCATTATAGAGCTTCGCGGAGCTTCATCAAATGTCATTCTGGATCAGTTACTCACTCTCTATCTATATATTCGCGCCCGGAGCATGCTTTATATTTATGCAATCAATTTTGTAATTATTCAATTTAACAAATTCAATGCATTTAATACATTAGTCATTAATTAAGTTGTCTATCGGATCTATAAAATTAATTAATCCACTATCAGAATCTTTTATTTGCCGTTTTTTTTTATCACAGTTGCATAAAAGCAGTGTTATAATTAATATTTCGCTAAATAATACTGTGTGCTGTACACTTTATGCTTGGGGTTGTGTGTGTGTGTGTGTGTGTGTGTGTGTGTGTGTGTGTGTGTGTGTGTGTGTGTGTGTGTGTGTGTGTGTGTGTGTGTGTGTGTGTGTGTGT